TAGCATTTATTAAATGCTTTGCTACACATTACTTATGAAAAACTGTGTGAATTGTTCTTAAACAACTGCTATAGACTGTGTCCTCCCAAAATGCATATGTTGAAATCCTACCCCCCAATATAATGCTATTAGGGTGGTGGGGCCTTTGGGAGGTAATTGGGTAATTAAGCAGAGCCCTCGTGAATTGAAGGTACCTGATAAAAGAGAGGCAGAGAGCTCCTTCCCCCATCTGCCATGTGAAGAAATAGCAAGAAGATAACCATCTATGAACCAGGAAGTGGGCCCCCACTGGACTGAATTGGCTGGCACCTTGATCTTAGTCCTCCCAGCCTCCAGAAATGTGAGAGATAAATTTGCATTGTTTTTAAACCACCCCGTCTATGATACTTTGTTAGAGCAGCCTAAAAGGACTAAAATAGGATCAAAAAGAAAAAGATGTCTTAAGTTCAAAGTCTACTTGTGGGGAGCTCCCCACATCTACTGAAGAAAAAAATTGAAAGTCAAATGTCTATAATTGGTTATATGTAAAAGTGATAGAAAAGAAAAAAACCAATACTAATCAGTACTTTCAATACCCATCTTAACCCTCCATTCCTTCACACAGAAAATGAATTCTTAACCATTTGTTTTTCTTATCTCAGTCACCCTGACAAAATACATAGGAGGCACTTAGCACTTCTTTCCATCACCATCCACAACGAACTAATAGCCAAACCTGTCCGTTTTGCTTTTGCCATATTTCCTAAATTCTCTTTATGTCTCACCTGGACCATTCAATCACCTAACTGGCTTCCTAGCCTTCAAAACATCTCTTGTTAAGCCACCCAGTCTATGGTATTTTGTTACAGTAGCCAGAGCTGACTAAGACATTAACCAACCGGCACTTTTCTAAAAGAAAGGCAGGATTTCTTGATTTTATTGACAATTATATTCAAAGGAAAATAAATTTCTTCCAGGTAGCAAAGACCCCAAGTCTCTCAATTTAGTCTTCTCCCCACAAAATAAAAAAATAACACCACCAAATATTCATAAGAAAAAATACACCTGTTCAGTGGTGTCACTGTTGTGAATTTAAAGTCCATGTTCAGTAAGTCCTCACTTAACGTTGTTGGTAGGTGCTGTGACTTTAACCCTTTGAGTGCCAACCAATATCCTAGGAACTATGCTAAAATTGCCAAGGCATTTTTGCTGATTTTACAGCAGTTTAGGAAAAAAATTATGAATCGCAAGTAAATGAAGTTACATATTCAATATCTTCCACAAAATCGTCATCTTCACAGCAAGAATTGACATATTTAGCAATATCATCATCACTAATAAAAGCAGACTTAGAACTGGACACTGCAGGAGGAGCGCGACAGCACTCCTGGCACTTTTGGTGAAAGACAGGAGGAGCTCGATCACGCTCCCAGGCACTCTAGAGGTTAAATTCTGGTTGGGATAGCCTCATTCATCATAAAAAGGTTGAATAACAAAGATAAAAGATGCCAAGGGCAGAATAGCAAGGTCAAGCGAATGGAACAGAGGTTGGATCTGGTTGGAGAAGTGAACAATACTAATCCTTCTCTAATAATTACTTGTATTTCTATACTTTTGAAAAAATAATGCATATGGGTGCTTTTATATGCATTATTCCATTTTATTAATTCTTCTTTAGTTATACCTCATGAGCTATCATGCCATTATTATGCCAAGGTATGCACTTTCATGTAATCATCACAAAAGATTTGTAAGATAAGTAATGCAGGTTGTAGGGTTGTCTCCATCTTATACTAAAATTAAGGTCAGGAATATTAAATTACTTAACCCAAAATTACACAGCAGATATTCATTTCTTCCAGCTTCCTGAGCATTGCCACCCTCTTCTCTTTCAATAATTAGTAAAATCACCATTAGGCTACTAGTACTTCTCAGAGACCTTTCTTTAAAAGGTTAATGACAGAATAGAAAATCTCAGTGGAAAATTCAGCTCAAAATTGTCAGTATAAATACTATTACCATATAGTATTAACACTTTTAAATTTTAATATTTTTCTTTTTAAGTATGTTTTGTGCACACAGTAATGCCCCAAATTTTCCATACTTCTTGAAGAAGAAATTTACAGTCCTTATCCAAAACAAACTATAATGTCAGGAAACACCAGTAGCACATTAATGTAAAGAACAATACCCAAAGGAATTTAGATACAGAGGTTAGGTAAAGAAAAGGAACATTCTAGTAATTATAGTTCTTAAAGTAATTCTGACTAAGAACAATGAGAAGGCCCTGGCCAACTAGCACAGTTGGTTAGAGCATCATCCTGATACACCAAGGTTGTAGGTTCAATCCCCGGTCAGGGCAAATACAGGAATCAACCAATGAATGCATAAATAATTGGTACAACAAATCTCTCAATCTCAATATGTCTCTCTCTCAAGCCAATAAATAAAAATATTTTTAAAAAAGGAGGGCAAAAAAGGCAATTGCAAAACTAACCTGCAATGAGAGATTAGGCAATAAGCACAGATGTGCAAAACATTTTTTTTCTGTTAAAAACAAGAATTAAAATTAGTGGCACTTTAAAAAATAACTACTCTTATGGAAACTAATAAAAAAGAAAAAATACAAAACGGGTGGTGAAGGCCTAGGGCAAGGGATGGGGGCAGGCTACAAGGGGTCAATGGGGGAAAAGGGAGACATATACGTATAATACTTTCAAGAATAAATACTTTTTAAAATACAGAAGATCACTGAAACCAAAAGCTGGTTCATTGAAAGGACTGATGAACCTTTAGCCAGACTCATCAAGAAACAAAGAGAGAGAACCCAAATAAATAAAATCAGAAGTGAAAGAGGACCAGTAACAACTGGCATCACAGAAATACAAATGATTGTAAGAAAATATTACCAAAAAAATAAACTGTATGCCAACAAAATAGGCAACCTGGGCAAAATGGACAAATTCCTAGAATCTTCCAAAACTGAATCAGGAAGAAGTAAACATCTGAATAGACCAATAACAACTAATGAAGTTGAAGCAGTAATTAAAAAAATTAAAAAATTATAAAAAAAAACTCCCAGCAAACAAAAGTCCTGGACCACATGGCTTCACAGGCGAATTTTACCAAACATTCAAAGAACTAACACCTATCCTCAAACTATTGCAAAAAATTCAAGAGGAGGGAAGACTTCCAAGTTCTTTTTACAAGGGCAACATTATCCTAATACAAAAGCCAGATAAAGACACAACAAAGGAAGAAAATGATAGACCAATATCCCTGATGAACATAGATGCTAAAATCCTCAACAAAATATTAGCAAACTGGATCCATCAATATATTTAAAAAGATCACACACCGTGGTGCAAGGTTGGTAAAATATTTGCAAAGAAATAAATGTGACACATCAAATAAACAAAATGAAAGATAAAAATTACATGATCATATCAATAGATGCAGAAAAAGCATTCGATAAAATCCAGCACCCATTCATGATAAAAACTCTCAGCAAAGTGGGAATAAAGGGGTCATACCTCTACATAATAAAGGCTATTTATGAAAAACCTACAGCCAACATCATACTCAATGTGCAAAAATTAAAAGCATTTTCCTTAAGATCAGGAACAAGAAAGGGATGTCTGCTTTCACCATTCTCATTCAACATAGTACTGAAAGTTCTAGCCATAGGGATCAGACAAGAAGAAGAAATAAAAGGCATCCAAATTGGAAAGGAGAGAGTAAAACTGTCATTATTTGCAGAAGACATAATATTGTATGTAGGAAAACCTAAAGACACCAGCAAAAAAAACCCACTAAATCTAATAAATGAATTTAGCAAAGTTGCAGGATAAAAAATCAATATTCAGAAATGGATGGCATTTCAAAAATAAAAATATAAATAAATAATAACAACTCTTGCTTAAAAATAGAAAAATAGAAATTCTAACTTCACACTACCCCTTACCTACGATCCATTCCCCAACCCTGGAGTTTATTAAGAAAAGCAAAAGGGATTTCAGGAAAAAAGAAAACGGAAATACTGAAGAAAGCTAGAGAATAAGCATAACACCATGGACAGTCGGAGAAGTTAGGAAGGTTAAGTGGCAGAAAGCATTGGAGTGAATTGCAAAGTGTTAGAGCCAGGGGAAAACAAATATCATCTGGTTAATCCAACCCTCTTATTTGACAGATGGAAACACTGAACAGAGGAGGGAATTAAGGGACATGCCAAAGTTCCACAAGTTAGTGACCGTCAGAGCTAAAACCCAAGTGTCCTGACTTCTGGTCTGCATTCTTTCCATTACTCCATACTCTAATTCTGTTGAATGATAGATAAATCAGAATAGATCGATAGATAAATAGAATAGCAGTATTTTATTTGGTTGTAAAGTCTTCTTCTTGCTTTCCTTGGCATCCAACCTCATATACTCATATCCTATATAATAATAGAGGAATATGCAAATTAGCCAGGACGCCCTCATGGGTAATGACCGGCAGGAGCAGGTGGGCGTGGCTGCATGCTGCACATGGCCAGGGGACATGAGGCTGTGTCAAATAAAAAAATATGCGTTCACATGCCCTAAAGCACAAACATCCCAGCAGATAACTCAATGAAGGTTATTGTGTAATCACAATGATTACACAATATTGATTACACAATAAACTTATTTTCACTGAAAAAAAAATAACATCTTCATTTAAACATGCCCCAGTAAGGCTGCTGAGGCTTTCATCTGTCCCTTTCTACACCGAAGACGACAGGGTTCAAGGAGGAAGAGCTCCAGTTTCGTTTTCTCAACACCCAGCTAGGAGGCCTCCCTGGGGCGGCTCTCCACACAGGACATGCGCTCTGCTAGGGCCCAGGAGCCCTGAAGGGAGGCGGAGCGAAGTGCTTTCCCTCCGGGACCCCGCTCTCCCTGGGAGTCCTGTGCAGAGGGCGCTCTCCCTGGGAACCCGGAAATCCACCTCCCCCGGCAACTGCGCAGCAGCCAGGCCTGGCGAGCCATGGGAGGGCGACCTACCCATGCGGATGTGTACGCCGGCGGAGGCCACGCAGCTGCCATAGTTGGAGTCATCCTCAATGGAGGACTGGGGGTAGTGGGGATCAGAGTTGGCCATGTCGGCAATGGCACCCCAGCTCCCCCCGGAATGACTAGAGCACAAGGACCTCAACGGTCCCGGTCACTTCCTGAGCAGCAGTCAGCCCTGTCCGGGGATCAAACCTGCAACCTAAGTAGGTGCCCTGACAGAATGGAATCCAAACCTTTGCTTCGGCAGGGGAGCTTCGACCCACAGTTAGGGCGTGGCCATGGCCTACTTTGACTAGGACACAAAATGCTCTGGATTAGGGTACAAATGCAGGGAGGAGGCCTTGAATGCCAAGCTAAGGAACTGAGGGCTCTGGTTGGAAGGCAGTGGGGAGACATTTAATGTTTTCAGTAAAAGCAGCAGCGTGATTAGAATTATGTTCTGGGACAGTGATTTTCAACCTTTTTCATTTCATGGCACACATAAACTAATTACTAAAATTCTGCAGCACCACCACAAATATATTTTTTGCCAACCTGAAAAAAAAAAAAAAAGGATGTAATTTTGATTCATTCACACCAGACAATTATTTTGTTGGCTGTTGTCATTTTTTTATTTGACAAAGAGAAAAGAGGTCAGTACCTCTGGCTACTGGTAAGTAGTCAGGTATTGCATGTTTTAAAAATTTTTGCAGCACACCTGTTGAAAATTGCTGCTCTGGGAAGACAAACCTGTGGCAGTATTTATGATGAACTATAGATAGAGGTATCAATCAGGAGGCTATTGCTAAGAGTCCAAGTGAACGTTTCTGAAGGCCTGAATCCAGGCAATAGTAATGGGAATGGAAAGGAAAGAATATCTTCAAGAGATTTTTTTTGGCATGTATTTTTAATTAATTTCAGAGAGGAAGGGAGAGGGAGAGATAGAAACATCAATGAACAGAGAGAGAGAATCATTGATCAGCTGCCTCTTGCATACCCCCTACAAGGATCAAGCCTGCAACCCAGGCATGTGCCCTTGACCAGAATTAAACCCTGGACCTTCAGTCTGCAGGCTGATGCTCTATCCACTGAGCCAAATTGGCTAGGCTGCAAGAGATTTTTTAATAGCTCTCCCCCAATATTAAACATAACACATTATTCATAGTACTAGAGGCCCGAGGCACGAAATTTGTGCAAGAGTAGGCCTTCCTTCCCCCGGCTGCTGGCACCGGCTTCCCTCTGGCACTCGGGACCCGGGCTTCCCTTGCAGCCCCAGCTTTGTCTAGAAGGTCGTCCAGAAGGATGTCCAGTCTAATTAGCATATTACGCTTTTATTATTATAGATTTTTTGTAATAAGCCAAAGCCGGAAGCTAGCCAAATGCCCATCATCAGTAGAATGGATAAAATTGTGGTATATTCACACTATAGAACATTATCTAAACCCTAATATGCAAATTGACCGAATGGTGGAACGACTAGTCGCTATGAAATCACCAGCAGGGGGCAGATGCTCAACGTAGAAGTAATAAAACCCTAATATGCAAATTGACCGAATGGTGAAATAACTAATTGCTATGAAATCACCACCAGGGGGCAGATGCTCAACGTAGTAGCTGCCTCCTGGTGGTCAGTGCGCTCCCACAGGGGGAGCGCCGCTCAGCCAGAAGCTGGGCTCACTGCTGGCCAGTGTAGCCGTGGTGGCGGGAGCGAGCAAATAAAACCCTAATATGCAAATTGACCGAATGGTGAAATAACTAATTGCTATGAAATCACCACCAGGGGGCAGATGCTCAACGTAGTAGCTGCCTCCTGGTGGTCAGTGCGCTCCCACAGGGGGAGCGCCGCTCAGCCAGAAGCTGGGCTCACCGCTGGCCAGTGCAGCCGTGGTGGCAGGAGCAAGCAGTAGGGAGCAGCAAGCAGGTGGGCAGTAAGGAGTGAGGGGTCCTGGACTGCGAGAGGGCACAGGCTGGGCTGAGGGGCCACCCCCCCCCCAACCCCCAGGGCACGAATTTTGTGCACCGGGCCTCTAGTGGGTGTGTGTGTATATATATGAAGTCTGCTTTAAATTGTTTAGTTTCCTTCTTCTCCAAGAGAACCTCTGGCCTCCATGGTTGATGATCTATTTATGCTCACTTCACAGAATTGTTTGCCAGCTCCATTACTGGATGTCCCCATAGCTATACTGGTAGCTGTGCGCTCAGAATGACCACAATCTTCCTCTGAGTAGATTTGTGTGTTCCAGGCACAGGGCCTCAATCTGTTACAGCATCCTCCCAAGTACCGCATGGCTCGTGCTTCCAAAGTAAGGGCTTAATGTGGTCACAAGGGACCATGCAAGGGCACATCTCTGCTGTTTTCAAGAAATCTTACACAGGAAATGCTGCTAAAGTGTTATTGAAGAAGGTGAATTGTTAACTAAAACAAAGCAAATCTGTTTTCCTGGCCAAGAAGAGAATTGTTTTTAAAGGAATCTACCTTTATAATAATAACCAGTAACTGTTAGCTAGCACTTACTGTGTGAGAGGAATTTCATACGTTTTTAACTCTCACAACAATCTCATGTGATAGGTATTATTACCTCCAATATACAATGTGGGCGCAAAGAGGCTAATTGACTTGCCCACAGTCCTATAGCTAAAAAGTTGCATAATAGATTTGAACCTAGGACAGATTCACTCCAAAGTATATATTTCTTTACCCCTACATCATTTCTCATGCCTTGGTGCTTTTTTTCCTTTTTCCCACCACAACATCGCTTTCTTTCTTTTTTAAAAAATTGTTTTTAGACATATTTTTATTGATTTCAGAGAGGAAGGAGGAGGGAAAGAGAGATAGAAATATCAATGATGAAAGAGAATCATTGATCGGCTGCCTCCTGCACACCCCTACTGGGGATCAAGCTTGCAACCCAGGCATGTGCCCTGACCTGGAATTGAAGACTGACCTCCTGGTTCATAGGTTGACACTCAACCATTGAGTCACACCAGCTGGGCAACATAGTTTTCTTAACTTCTCAGCCAGCTTCTCCGATTGTGAGTCTTAGCATTTTAACCAAGGGCTCTCTGGGCTCTTACTTGCAAAGCTAACAGCATCTTGTCTCCTGAGAAAAGTTGTCAAAACACATGCATGTGACCTGCAAGTATATAATTTGGTAATTATTCTCCCAAAGCAGGGGTCCTCAAACTTTTTAAACAGGGGGTCAGTTAACTGTCCCTCAGACCGTTGGAGGGCCGGACTATAGTTTAAAAAAAAACTATGAACAAATTCCTATGCACACTGCACATAATCTTATTTTGAAGTAAAAAAACAAAATGGGAACGGATACAATATTTGTATTTGCATGTGGCCCGCGGGATGTAGTTTGAGGACCCCTGTCCCAAAGATTTAACACTGGCTCCAGAATTTTAACCAGGAATGGAGATGATATAAAGACCTTAAGTAGCTAGTCAAGGTCATGGTAAACCCAGAAACCTACCAACCCTGCCCCCCAGGCTAAATATATAAATAATGTTCTGTAGTCTCTCCTCATTCCTGCCTTTGCTATATGGAATTCAAATATTTCATCCTCATCATTTTATTCCTCTTCTGACAAATGTACATAGCTGATATGATCGTGTACAGCCTGGATCCACCTACCTAATAAGGTGATCGGAACCCAGGAAGCATTTAGTAAATATTGCTTTGAATGAAGAAATGAATTAATGAACATTTTCTCCCTTCTGTAACAATAATAAATATGATATCTGGCACTTGTGTATGTCAGGCTCTATGCTAACCTCTTTATATGCATTGTCTTATTGTATACTCATACAACTCTCTAAGTAGATATTATTATTATTACGATGGGTCTCTCACTAATCCCATTACCTCCCAAAGGCTCCACCTCCTAATTTTACCTTTGATACTGTGGCTTAGAAAGGTTAAACTTGCTCAAGTTCACATAGGGAGCCACCATTCTAACATCAAAACCACATCTGATTTCAGATCCAGTTTTCTTTTTTTTTTTTTTTTAAAAAGCAATGTTTTCTTTAATCATGTGTACAAATGACTAATGTGGTTGTTAGAGTTTTATTTATTTTTTAAATATATTTTATTGATTTTTTACAGAGAGGAAGGGAGAGGGATAGAGTTAGAAACATCGATCAGCTGCCTCCTGCACACCTCCCACTGGGGATGTGCCCGAAACCAAGGTACATGCCCTTGACTGGAATCAAACCTGGGACCTTTCAGTCCGCAGGCTGACGCTCTATCCACTGAGCCAAACCAGTCAGGGCATGACACCCAGTTTTCTTAATCACTACATTCTACAACTTCCCTTCTATTTTTATTAAAAATAAGATCACTGCTTCTATGCATGAAATCATTTAATTTATGAAACATTATTTGGAGAAGCAATTGATTTACAAGGCAGAACTAGCTAGCATACACCCAAACACTGAACAAAATGCCTCAGATCTCTTTCAACCTGAGCTGGATGGAAGTGGCTCTCTTACAGATTTAACACATGTAAGTTTCAAAAGGAATGAAAAAGGTCTCTTAGTGTGTACAGCCTAGAAAAGCCAGGTGTGATCAAGGTGCTTCCAAAGGATGATTTCAACAGCCCTGTTGTATTCAGGAATATATTTTTTCAATGAAAATTCAGCACATATAGCTGTGGCAGGTGTGGCTCAGTTGGTTGGAATGTCCTCCCATACACCAAAAGGTGGCAGGGTTGATTTCTGGTCAGGGCCCATACCTAGATTGCAAATTCGATCTCCTATTGGGGCGCCTACAGGAGACAAAAAATAGATGTTTCTCACATTGATGTTTCTCTCCCTTCCTCTCTCTTAAATCAATTTAAAAAGAAAACACATATCCTCAGGTGAGGACTAAAAAGCAAAACAAAATATGCACACACCAAAAAAACAAAAAGCAACAAGAAAACAACAACCCAGCAGAACATGGCTTAAAAAGTGGGTTGTAAGATTTTTTTAAAAAATAGAGGTATACACTACATATAATCTTATATGTAGTCGTTAAATGTATGCTAGATTATTTTTTATATTTTTATTGACTTCAAAGAGGGAGAGGGAGATAGAAACATCAATAATGAGAATCACTGAGCTGCC